GCACGTATTCTGCGATCCAGAACGAGGCAACAAAAATGTTGATGAGGTGAAGCAGGACATTGTAAACAAGCAGGCTTGTGAATACACCTCTTTTAATCCAATAAAAAATATCGCCCCCTGACTTTGAGATTTGAGTTTTGCCGACAAATACTACTTGTCAAGTCTGCATGCAGATCACGTTGGCACATAGCAGCAGTGAAAGGTCTGCTGCTTAAACTGTATTCATTCACCCCTTCATCACATTACATTAGCCATTACAGTGAATAGTGCGCCACATCGCAATTCACGGGATCACTCCCATGGCGAGACTAGGGGTTTGAGACAACATGGCCACTTACGGTACTTACACAAAGTTCACGATTTTGTGCTTAATTCAGAAATGGTCATTTTTTCTATACTGGCAATGAATTTATTTTGTTACCGAGACTGAGTAACCAGCCAGAGAAATAGGGACTGCAGTTCCACTTCAAAAGTCGACCAACTGACAGACATCTCCCACTGTTGTCCCCCAGGCTCCCAGTGACAGGGGCCAAAACTAAGGTTCACTCAGCCAGCTGTGGCCACACAAAGCCCTCAGTGAATTCTGGGTGCTTTTACAACCTCCCTGAGGTCTGTGCTGTCAATCAGAAATTGAATCTGTGGCAGATTTCCCAGATACCCATTCTCTTTCATATAATGAGTCAATTGGGAAAGTCTTTCATCTTGCTGAAATTAAAGTTCCCGGCCTTGTTTTTTTCTTCAAAGAACACCTCATTCGCAGATGCATCTTTACCATCAGGCTTAAAACTTGTTCACCAGCAAGTGACCAGATCTGGGCTCAATTGCTGCTGCCCCAGTTGTGAGAAATATAGAGGCTAGTTTAGGAGTAGAGGAGGAAAGCTGAGCTTTGTTTTGAACATCTCCTTGCCTGAACATAAAAAAAAAAAAAACAGTCCAGGCATGGAAATTGCTTTTTTCATGGGAAATACTAATTCTTGTGGGGTGGTAGGGAGGGGTCTTGCTTGCTACCCTTGCAAAAATTCCCCTTGTACAATCTTGTCCATCAATGGCATTAGACGTGATGGCAAGGTAGATTTCATGAAGGCCTCACAGTGCATCACACAGGACATTTTGCAAACCAGTGTCCTTATAAATGCTGTACAGTATTTTTTGCACCTCAGCTGACAGATCCCTCTGTGTGATGATCGCTCACCATATTCTCCCATTTGCTGCAGGAGAGCTACTTACTACTGAATGGGCTCGATGGGCCAAATTACCTCTCATTTGTAACCTTTCTTATGTTCTAATATTGGTTGTTTGGGTTCCAGGTTATGTAACTAATAGCAGGTAATAATAGCTCAACTCCTAACACTACTAAGACAATTGGATGGTTTCCAAAAGAGTAAGAAAATCCAGGTTTGGTTTAGTTTTGTCCTTCTTAGGTTGTGAAAAAAACAGTTGTAGCCTTCAGACTAAACATATCTAGTACAGTATGTCTTTCCCAGCAGCCCCCGTGACACCAGTGATGGAGAAAAGGGGGTTGTCCCATGGAGCACTGGTTAGAGCAGACACTTAGCCACATTTCAACCCGCCTGGTTGCATTTATTGTGGACTTGAAAGTCACACTAAGTGAAAATCTTGATATGCACGGAACACCTATTATTGAGTAATATTATATTTTTAAATGGTTAATGACAAGTATTTTCTAAGAATGTTCATTTATAATAGTTATGCTTTAGGTCAGTCTGAAACAGTACAAAGCACTATGCCAATATATTTCGCCAGAAGGGGGTAAAGGCAACTGATCAGGGATTTAATTGCCAGGCAGCTGTGAGCTCTTACCGTATGGAAGCCAAGCTCAGCTGCCTTTTGTAGTCACACATTGAACACGCAGTACTTGAGTGAATGAAAGACAAATACAGCCTTGTTCCGCACTGATCCCTTTCTTTGGTTGCCCAGTATTCACCCTGAATACATAATTAATGTTAAATTATGCATAAAATCACAAAGCAAGATCCCAGTTAATTAACATCAAATTGATTGTTTCATCCAGTGCAGGTGATTATTGCTGCTCCACTGTTAATTATTAATAACCCAAAGACCTGCAGTATGCAGAGAGCTGGACTATTTGAAAAGTACATTCCTTATTCTCTTCATTAAAAAAAGTCTCATCTCAAAAGAAACTTGTTCTTTTGTGATGATACCAAGTTGCAAAACCCAGCAAGGCATTGTTCTTGATGGAAGTGCGCTCTTGCAAAGTACCCTCAAATATGTATGGTACTGACTGGGATGATGGTGTGAGTGCACTTTCATAGAGCTAAAGAAGCTGAAAAGTAGGCAACTGTAAAACACAGCAGACATCATTTACATGATCAGTGTCTACCGTTCCATAAAAACAGGATCCAGGCAAATAATTCAACGGAATCTATGTTTAAGTCATTAGCAGCTTAGTGCAAAATGGTCAATTGGTCTCATCACTTTAACCTGTTCCCTCAGATCTTCAGACACTGATGGCTGTCGGATCTAGAAAAGTACCAGGGATGGCGAACTGGGGAGCTGGGGATCTGCAGCACAGATGCACTTTTTTATTTAGACAAGATGTGGCGTCACACTAGTAGAGCAAATTACACCTTTTGCCTTCATTAACATTTGCAGTTCCAATCACTACCTTTTACTTTTAACCCCCAGGATCTTTTTTAATAAACAGTGGTATGAACCAAAATTCCACTAATGTTAAAACAAATATTTTTATTCACATATGTATTAAGCGATGCCACAAGGGGCTGCGTCCTTGAAGGGTGTTACCTTTCCCAAGGACTCTTAGACTTTTTCAAAGCTTTCCCCCTACCTAATTTGGCAGACCAGACATGCAGCTGTGCACCCTG